TCGCAGATGGCCCTCAGCATGGTAGCCCTTCTGACATTTGATGCGGGGTCTGCCGCATACGTTATCCACCCACTCTTGGCTGAGACCCGCGGGAGGCTGGTCCAGAAAGTGGGCGGCAACACAAACTTTGATGAAAGATCAGCTCGAAGCCCATCCCAGTGTGGGCACTCCACGACCTGATGTCGGATGGATGGCCAAAGATGGCCGCAGTGTGGGCAAGGTAGCCCTGTCTGTCGACGTGTCTCCGATGAAGCTGCCCCTGAGCGATACACGGAGAGGCTGAACTTCTCGGCAATACTCAATGAATGAAACCACTTTGTGAAAACCTTGTTGCTGCAGGCGTCGACGTCCACCGATTCGACCTCCTCTGCGTCTTTTCTGCGGGGCTCCACAATTTGTAAGCACCTGATCCTGGCAATGACCCGAAGGACATGTTGTGCTCTCTTGGAGTGCGTCCAAAATCTGTGCTGAGCGTCCGCCAAACCTTCCACAATCTGCAATACTCTAAAGTCGTCCATAGACGAGACTTCCAGTAAAACGCCACGTTCTTCTGAAAATCGTATGTATTCCAATCCCAACGTTCGAGCGTGGACTTGGATCGAGTTCTCCAGGAAAGATGACCAAATCAGCTTTTCGTCATGTAAACGTCTGAAGGCGAAGAGGCTGCAAGAGTAGACGGGGTGGAGCATGATGTTCTGGCACCACCATCTGCCCAGGCACCACCATGTGTTCTGGGTGCGCCACACTGCTCTCGCCAAAAGCTTTGCCGTCGCCGTCGGTGGGGGTGTCACGATAGGGGCCCCCCACGTCCACAGAGGTCTTAGGTATATATAGGCCAGCCGCAATCTCACCATGCAAGATCCAGGAACAGACTGAAGAATAGAAATCCCAGTGTGAAGTTTGGCCCATTTGTCTTTTGGTATGATGTCCCATGTCGCGTCGGTAGGACAAGCGAGGAGACCGAGGTGTTCGATCTGCTGGTGCTCCGCGTCCATGGTGGACCATATCTGCGTTTTCTTGTTGTTCGCTTTGAAACCCACGTCACTGTCAAATGTAGATGTTTCAGCCATGTCGTCCAGCAGCCCCAGCGGGCTATCTCCAACAATATAGCGGTCATCCATGAGGCATCCCGAGGGGCCCGACGTGATCCAAGGAACAAGTGTACTGATCATGGTCCCAGGTGCTGTGCTGTCTCCTTGTGGCAACCCTCGGTCTGCGTATATTGCCCTCTCTGCCAGTTCTCCGTTGAGGCTGCACCAACGAGGGCCTTTCCATGCCGATTTGCATACATATCGTACTGCCAGGGGGTAACGTGAACGCTCCATTGCAGCACTCGCAATTTCATGAAGGATATTATCATAAGCGCGGCTGAGATCCAATTCGCATCCGTCCGAACTCAATTCACAATGTCGCAACCACTGGCTGATCGCGTGAGTGACTGACACGTGCTTTCGATTAGCCCATTGGCCTTCTGGGGGCTCAGGAGCTGCAAATGCCAATGCTCTGAGCCAAATACGTAGCAACACGCTGCCCACACTAATAGGCCTCGTGTCATCCTCTCCCTTGGGCATACCTGCCACTCTCCAGGCGAATACCAGATCGTGGAGTTCTCCTGGTGGACAGCCTTCATGTTCAATGCAATACCTGGAGGTATCACACCACAGCGTGTAGAGTTCTGTGATGATCTCTGGATACAAGTCCGCCAGGATACGGGCCTCTCTAAAGGACCACCCATCCAATCCTGCACAACCCTTTGAACTTCTCAAAGCTTCATCAAACTGTTCCTTCGTTGGCAGCCACATCTCATGCAAAGTCGACTTCGGGAACTCAACTTGATCAGCACGATGTTGCCAGGCTCGAAGGTGTGCTTGTTTGTCAACATTCCCAGGCTTCCACTGTGCTTCCCACTCCTCGGCGAACTGCGAGACGTGGCAAGAGGAGGCCGGGGGTGCTTGCTTGAACATGGGCGTGGCCACCTTATACACCTCAGTAGACCACGCTGCAAATTTTTCTTTCCAGGATCTCTGTGCTTCACGTTGCAATTTAATATTCTCCGCTGATATGGCTGCTGTCAGCCACTGGAGACAGTCCGAATAACAAGGAATACCTTCTGCTTTCATGTTGACAATTCCTTCGAAGGCAGCTCTGGCAATATCCGTGAAGTGTCGTGGAGAGACCTCGGCCATCGCTGAAGTTCCCTGCCTGAGCGCCTCCGAGAAGCGACGATGGAGGCGGAGGAGGCGCCTGTGTGCAATACTTTGTTCTGGTCGAAACCGAGGTCCATGTGCCGCTGGCCTCTGCGTGGGTTGGGAGCCCTTGCTCCTCTCAGGTAGGCGATCAATCTCTACCAACTTTTTGTCCACTGCGATGTTGAGTGCTGCCTCTGCTCGCTCGTGCCAGTATCGCCATCTCGTGACCAGCGGGACGTCCGTGTCGCCATTGAGATCCAGGTCGATGGCTCCGCTAATATGGGGAGCCGCACACACTGCATCTAGCGATTCCTTCAAGAGGCTCTTGTACTCGGCCGTAACCGTCTTGGTGTTGACCACCGGTAGAAAGGAAGCCGTGTGGTGTAGTCGGTACCGTGGGATCGTAATGTACGGTATCTCCAACTGGTACTTGACCATCGCGTGGTGAGGGACCCCTGGCAAGAGCTTGGCGCCCAGGTACTTGGGTGGGGCATCCTGCGGGTTTCCCCAAGATAACGCCCTTGTCGGAGCTGTACCGATCGCCGTGGTCACCTGAGTAGATTGGTCATGCGATACGTCCAGCTGCCATCCGATGTCTAATAAAGTATTATATGAAGCTTTCCAATTGAGGTCCCCTATGATGTAGAGGGGGTGGCCCAGATGGCCCAGTGATTTGGCATAATCCAGAGCAGACAAAAACCATGATCGATCATACCACTGTGGCCCGTACATACTCAAGATTGTCGCTTTGGTAGTTCTGATCCCAACCATCCGATGGTCGAGCTTGTCGTCTCTGATGACGCTGATCTTTCCCATGGCCCGTCGCCACAAGATCGCACAGCCGCCCTGCGTCGTTGCCACTCTCGCCCCAGGAGGAGGGGGCTTCGAGCATGCTGCACCCCACCCTCGTCGAGCGCAGAAGTTGATCAGCCACCTCGGCCTCATGTCAGGGAGTCGTATCTCCTGGAGACATAATACGCCGACGTCGTCTGCAACATTGTCCAGGATCTCTGACAATCTGGCCTTTGAGATACTGGTGACGTTGATCGTGGCAACCTGCAGGCGATCGAGGCCCTCGCCCTGGTCATTCTCTGGGCCCTGGGGCCCCGTCTCGTCGACGTGATCCTCGGCATGCTCGGTGTGGGCGGGGCCTTCGCCTGTCCCTGATGGATCTACCCCATGGTCAGGGTATTCCACGTCATCTTCTATACCTGTCTTCAAGCGTTTGGAGGATCTCGGACTCTGAGTCGATGATCTCCTCAATGGTGCTGGTGTCGTCGTCGGTCTCGTCGCGGTCCTCGAAGGTGTCGACATGGCGTCCCGTGCCTGGGGTGTTCCCTCGCATTCGGGGCTTCCCCAGGCTTGCAAAACGTGGCGACGCTGCCTGGGGTGTTCCCTCGCATTCGGGGCTTCCCCAGGACTTGCGTCCTGGCGCCGCTGAGCCAATCCACACCGCTGCCTTTTGGACTCTCTGTGGGAGTCGAGACATTGATCTGCAAATACAGTCTTTGAATTCGAAGAACTAGAGAAATCAGTCTTTGGAGCAAGTTCAGAAACTGCTTGGTCTGCAAATACAGCCTTTGAATTCTGGGACGGGTCCGCGGCACTTATGTCCCTGACCCTTGCTTTCTTTGAAGCCGTAGTAGCCTCCGAAGATGAGGCCCTCGATGCTTTCACATTTGTCGAAGCTTTCTTCTGACGCTTGGGTAGTGGTTGCCCCTGGGAGTCGTCGTGGCCTTCAGCACGGCGGCCTCCTCCTCCCAGGAGCGGATCCCGTCGCGACGATGCTGAGGCTGCGGCCGCCTCCTCCTGCTCGGGCACCTCACTGGGAGCCACTGCTGCAGGTCTGCGTAGCATCCGCATCAGCTTCGGCCTCTTGAGATACTCTTGGCGCTTGGCCTTCATCTCTGGAGTACGTTGTCTGCGTCTCTGCTTTTCCTGCGTCTTCTCATGTGCCGCCTCGATCTGGTCGGCGTAGTCTCTGTTGACCATCCTGACCCAGACGTCGTGCGTAGCCTCCTTGACTTTGCGCGGGTCTCCTGGTCGCCTGGCACAGACTGTCCACGCGGTGTTACCTTTCTTCAGGATATGCTTGGCCAACGTCTTACGTCTGCCGCATCTTGTACAAGAATATACCGTGTTGCCCTGCTTGCCGTCCTTGACCGGTTCAACGTTGTCCTCCGTGATCTGGCAGACGCTGGGCTTCACATCCTCGGGTAGAGACTGGTACCATGTGGTGTACCTCCTCCAAGCTTTGTCTCGCTTTCCTTTGTCCATGTATGATAAGCTGGTCACCGCCCTCAGCCGTGCTGCCCTATTCTCAGGTGGCTCCTTGGGCGGTGGTGTGCCCTTGCAGGCACGCCAGTGTACTCGTGCTTGTTGTAGAACATGGCAGGGTGCATGCGCTCCATCGGGCTTCCACCCGCAGTCGCAAAAATAATAGTTGTGGCGCTCAGGACGGCATGCTGGTAGATCATGATCAGGGAGAGGATCATCGACAGCCTCATCACCGACTGATAGTCCCAGAATACTCCTAGCGCGTGCCAGTCGTTTAGCCGTTGGCTTCGAGGATGCCTTGGCCGTCACCTTCGAGGTCTGGGAACGCCCCGACTGACTGAGGCCCAGCATACTCCTGGCTGCGTTCAATGCTTTCGTGGTCTTCTTGGTCGAAGCTGGGCTGAGGCCCAGCATACTGCGTGCTCCTCTGGTCGAGGGAGCTCTTGCCGACGGTGTGTGTGGTTCGCTGCCCGTTCCTCCCCCCGTAAATCGTGCTGGGTATGGGAATGCTGCAGTCGTCCATCGCGTCAACACCTCCTGGGGTAGCTCGACGCCCGCCTTTGGAAGAAGAAGTTTGTAGTGCTTGTCCACCAACGTTGCCCACACCGTCTGCTTGGTCTTGATGTCCGCAGGGGCGGTATACAAGGTCCACGTTCCAGTGCGGGACTTTTTCCAGATGGAGAAATTCGTCTTCGTGGTGACCGCTGCTGCTCTCACCATGGCCGATGTGGCCCATTCCCCAGTCTTGGCTGCCTTGCGGGCCTCATCCTGGGGGTAGCGTTTGTTGTCCGTCATGGTGGCGGACACGATCATGCGCAAATTGGCTTGAAGTGCGCCGCCAGGGCCCATCTCCTTCTCCGCCATCTGCTTTGGCTTGGATTGGTTCGCTCGTATGCCGTGGGAGGCCATCAAGAAGAAGCAATCTCCGTCTCCCCCGCAGCACTTCTCATTGAAATATGCCTCCCATGGAGGCCTCACGGGCGCCTGTGGAGCTTGGGGTGGAGCTGCTGCTGCTGCTGAGGCTGCTGCTGCTGTGCCTGGTTGCGGCGGCCGCTGCGGTCCACCTTCCTCGGCATTCGCCATGCCCACGTCGCCGTCCTTGTCACGTACTTCTGCTTTCACTTCAGCTGTCGTCTCCTGCACTGGAGCCCTGGCCGGCGCGGGAGTCCCCCACGCTGATGCCCCTTTTGCCTGTGGAGGCGGTCGTGAGGATGTCCTGCGAGGCACAGCTAGGCTAACTATGATCCCCGACTTGAAAGTGCATACCTGATCTTTGACCAATCCGTCCAGATCAGCTCGTAGAAACCAGGCTCTCTTGCTCGAACGTGTGATGCCGTCAATATTCTGGAACCCTCTGGCTTTGGCGCACTCCTCGACCTCCTGGGATGATGACCAGTGCTCAGGGCACTTCTGCAAGTACCATCGAGGTTGGATATCTGCTGCCATGGGCTTCTGGGATAAGACTCCTAAGGATGCATTGTCTGATGGGCGGTACACCAAGCGGCCCTCGACCTGGGCGGCTGCGGCAGTCACCCTGGTGAAGTATGTCATCATGTTCTCGCCCTCGCGTAGTTTGTGCCACACTGGCACCAGCTTGCTGGATTGTCTATTCAAAAATACCCCTGGCGGGGCGGTCCACTTCAAGAACTCCTCTGTGTCATTCTCTCTCACAAGGATAATCGCCGTCGACTCCGTCTGGTAGTTGACTGCTCCCTTGACCTTCAAAATCTTGGCTGCCAGCACTTGAGGAAATAGTACCGTCGCCATCGCCACTGGTTTCTCCTTGACCGTCGCATACGTAGCATCGTCGGCGAACGCCTCTGCAATCGTGAGTCGTAGTGCCGCCGTGGCCAAGGGTGGTGCTGTTGAGACTTCATCATCCTTCAAGCCCGTGGGTAACCCCTGGCGAGTCGGTGGCAAGGTCCCTGTCATAATAATCTGAGCCGTGTGCGGTCTGACCCCAACAGATGTCTCGCACATGACCTCCGTAGTAGTAGCCCCAGCCAAAATCGACGGTGCATTGAAGACAATGAACGTCATCCCACTGGGTTGTTCTTTGATGGAGCCAAGCCACTGTGTGGCCTGCTCATACTCTGTGGGCGACTGGCACGTGATGACAGCAGGGCCCTCCAGTGTCGTCGTCCTGATGTTCGCGGCCTTGACGATCTTAGCCGTTCCCCACGGCTGAGAGTGTACGACCAACTTCGTGTCCTGCGCCTTCTCGGCAGCAGGTCCCCCATTCAACCACGTCGAGGCAGCCGTGGTTCTCGAGAGGAGGCCGCGCAGCTTGTCCTGCACTTGCTCCTCTGTGACCTTGATATGATTGACCCGCATGTACTTCAGGTACTCCCGTATCTTCTGAAGTGTCGGCGGTACTTGGGTATTCTTGGGCGTGCGCTTCTTGGGCGGCTTCCCCACAGCCACCTGAGACTCCACGCCCATCTTCTCTGTCAACTTATTCAAAACTGTGGTGATCTGGGTCAC